TTTTTTTTAAATCAGTACTTGTAGCTTAAGCACACATCTCCTTTAACTCTTCCCATCCCTATACCACTTCATTCCTGTGCCTGCACACACCTGTTAAGTCTGCTGACTTGTACTGAAGAATGAGAAATACTCTTATTAAAGAAATAGCTATTTTTTTTAAAGCAGCTCAGTTCTGTTTTATTTCATGGTTTGGAGATAGTTTTGCTGGTGTAGAATCTGTCACTATACATGTTACACATTTCCTACTATTTTTATGATTTTGTTTAAAAAATTTTACACATCTCTGATTTTAAAAGTCCATAAAGAATCAAGAACTCTTGCAAAAAAAACCCCACTAGTGAGGAAGTCCTGAACATCTGGTCTGACACTGGTCTGAAAGTGAATTGTGGCTGAGCCATAATTTGGTGCCATTTTTATCAGCTCTAAAATGTGAGAAATACACATTCTCCGACAGCCAAATTGATAAAGACAGTAATGGTACAAAAATAGGAAAAATGTTGAGTTTTGTGATTTTTTTTTTCAGAAGAAGTTCAGGTCTTTCTGACAAACCTCACTAGCAGTAGCCAGGGCAGTGACAGCCATTATTTTCTGAAGGAGCTTAAGAAGCAGGGTTGCATTTTTAAAGCAGCTATGGCATAATTGCTTTAACGGACTCTTTAAGGAGTAACCCCTGCTTCTTTCAAAACAAGGCCCCAGTTTTGATTTTATTCATTCTATGGATCCATAATTAGTGGTAGATTGTTACTGACTTGAATGCCCTACTGGTGTGAGCATCAGTAAGTCAAATGAATAGATTCAATGGAGATTTTTATGAAAGTATGTCAAGTTATTTTAGCTAAGCTGCTGTGCTTTCTTGCAGTGAACCTGGTACTTGCCTTCTAATCAGCCAATTCACTAATTTGCTGACTAACCTAACATCACAGGCTGTAATTTTCTGTGTTTAGGTTTATTTATGGAGCCATTTAAAAATACTTACATGGTGTCTTAAGGATTATGAGAATGACTTAGAAAAGCATCTCAATTTGATGCAGCAGTATGCACTGTGAATGCAAAAGACAAAGTTTTACAGTGAACAGGAGCAGAAATGATACTACTGTGAATTCTAGTGTTTGCGAACGTGAACAGATATATCCTACATCTTAGGTGTTACTAAAATGAGAAGGTTTTTCTTTGGGGATGCTGACTGAGAAAGCAATTTTCCCCACTGGGCAATAGGAATGTAAATACACTCTCTACATGATTGTAGAAAACACAACACTGTGCTGTTCAGTGATGTCTAGTACTCTGCTGTGAGGTCAGTATTCACACTGGTAGTCAACAGCCACTGCAGGTAGTGGCTTTTGAATAAAAGGTCATGTTTTTCAATAGCCTCATTCTGACTGAAAGCCTGAAAGCTTCATGGAACTTCTTGATCGTTGCAGTATAAAACCAGAATTAAAAGGAGAAACAAGAATTTGAGAGGTAGGTACACAGTCTGCAACAATGTCTTCAGGACGCCAAATCCTCTGTTCACTTGAGACCTAGGGAGAAACCTTACCCCAGCAGAAGTTGGTGTGAGTTTTTCATTGACTTCAACAGATTCAAGATTTATACTTGATAGTCTAAGAACAAAATCTATGAAGTCCACCTCTCTCTGTGTTCTGTGAGTTTATTGTTACTATAATGGAAGTCAACACTTCTCCCACAGTGCTGAGTAAAAAGCATTCCAGCTGAGTAAGAATTAGAACTTATAATTAGGGTTTTTCAGACAGATGGAATCACAATCCACACAGACCGGAAGGTATTTATTACAGAAAACAGCTGTAATTCTATATTAGCATGTTTTGTAAAGTCAGAATTCCAGATTTTTTTTATTCCTATTAAGCCATTCAGTCTTCCCTGTCTGGAACACAGTACAGGTGGGATTCACCTTACCTGGCTTTACATTGTCACAGCATGAGTCCATGCTGGTTGCTTAAGCTGCCTTTTTCTCTCTGAAGCATAATGGGTACTTTTGGAGTGCCCATATGCTTCAAACGTAAGACAGTTCTCCTGGTCTGTTTGGGATGCAGGAAGAGATTCAAATGGTGCTGATAAAATTCTAATTTTCTCTCATAAAAATCTCCATTCAGAGGGACAGCAAATCTGTGGCAGAAATCAACTCTCCAAATGGCATTTTGGCAATATCTCAGTCATGTCCTTATTTGTTCTGCTCTTCCTGCTTGCACATAGAGTTTTGCTGCTGGGTAACGCCAGGGTCACATTTAGTCATATCTCTGTGACTAAGGAAGGCTGATCTTCAGTTTGCTGTTTTGGCCCAGCCTGGAACTTCCTTTTCCTAGAAGAACATTATAAAAGCATCAGTAAACTAAAATGTACAAATCTCAATACTTTCAAATGACCCAAAATATACTTTGACCCCAAGCAAAGTGATGTATAGTGTTTTAACTAAAAATGAAGTCTCTGTTATATACACATGAAGGAATCTCTAAAAGTTCTTGCAAACAGAAAAATGTTGAAAGTGAAATTCTTTGGTGGTAAAAAAAAACGTTTTAGCCACTATTATGTCACATCACAGGCCTCACTCACAAAAGACAGTGGGAACTTTAAAAAAAAAAAAAAATTAACCCCCATCACAGTAGTTAGGGCATTCAGGGGTGGCTCAGATACAAGACCCATCAGTTATAAGGAGTCATTTACAGATACTGTCTTCCAATGTAAAAAGCTGAAGGAGGCTCGCCCTGGAAACCCCAGTTTGCTCATACTTGGGCTTTCGACACATGTTTTTAAGTCAGTGTTTCAAATTACACTGCAACTTTGGAAGCAGCCCTCAACTTTTGAGTAGAGTGCTGTAAGCATTTGGCTCGTGGCCAAAGCAGAACATGCAGCATAGGACACGTATGTTATCTCTGTTACATGTCCATCGGAAAGGCTTGTGGCCTGGTAAAGGTTCCAAACTCCCAAGGAATAGTCACAGCTGACAACTCTTGGCAAAGGAGCTCCTCTCCTCTCCGGTCAGCATTAAGTTCAGGCCCGTGCCTCCTCCTAGCACGCTCCGCTGAGTTGCCGGGATGTTTGCTGCTCAGTTGCCACAACCGCGTTCCCTAGCGCATTTCCTTGAAGCGGCGGCCTTGCGGGCCGGGCCGGGTCCGCCATTGGCGGCCGGGGAGGTGTATCCCGCGGCCGGCTCGCGGTTGGCTGCGGCGCGGGGCGGCGGCGCCGCCGGACATCGGCCGGAGGAGGGAGCGGGGCCGCCCGGCCGCGCCTCCCGCCGCCCCGCTGCCTGAGGTAGGTACGGCGCTGCCCGGCGCTCCGGGTGGCAGCGAGCGCTGCCCGCTGCCCTCCGCCCTCCCGCCGCGGTGCCGCCCGCTCACACCGCTTCTCCCCCTGCTCGCCGCCGCCTCTCTGCCTTTCCCTGCCGCTCTCCTGGGATTTTTACCCCTCCCGCGCGTCGCCCCTGCTGGCGGGCGGCCCCTCGCTGGGCTGCTCGGCACTGTCTCAGCCCCGGTGATGATGGGGTGCCGTGAGCAGCTCCCGGCACGGGCGAGGAGGGAGCGGCGCGGTGCGGCCCCGCGGTCACTCGGCGTGCTGGGGAGGCCGGGGAGGGTGCCCAGCGCTGCAGCCTTGGAATGCTGAAGTTAGTTTCACTTTTACGAGGGGATATAGATATCGCTGTGGCTGAGCCTGAGCACACACAGGGAGGGAGGCATGCAGACGAACTTCTGGCCTGCCAGAGGTCACCCGAGCGTTTGCTCCCTGCCCGGACAGTCGCGATCCCAGTGCAGGGCAGTGCACTCCCGCTGGAAGGCGTCACTGCTCTCCTTGGGCAAGTCCTCCATGGGAGGGGAATTTGCTTCACTGCAGGCTTGGGTATGAGATGCAGTGTTGTAGTTCAAACTGCTCTCATCATTACGTTTTAGTGTCCAGAGATAGTGACATGGTGTGACAAGGCTTCCTGTATTTTGAGAGGGATCATTATGCTCTTTGAGAACCCTTTTAGCATGCTGAAGAGAAGTGTCACAAAATACCCCCGACTTCAGTTCATCAACCTTTGCTGGTGGACAAATGTAGCCATGGTAGGAAGACCATACTTGGAGCTGTTGTAGATGGCTGAGCGCTTCCCTTCACACTGTCCTTTGTGTGCTGGAGCCTCTGTTTCAGCGAGCCTGGAGTTAAAGAGGACCTCTGAAGTCTTTAGGTGTATAGAGATTTTACAAGTTTGAGGCATGAGGACAAACAGGATTTTCCAAATTATTAAGATACAGAGATTCATGTATTATCAGTTAAAATCGTGTTAGAAACAAAGTTCACATTCTTGAAGCCTTTCTCTTGAGATTCACATCTTTTAATTGCATGAGTATCTGAAGACCTTAGCTACTGAATACTTGGTGCTGGCCCTGGCAGTGTCTCTGCAGAAATAAGCAGCAGCATGTAGGCTTCACTGGGAACAAAAAGGATGAGATAGAAAATAAAGGGGAATTCCTCTGCAGTGGGAATCTGTTCTAGTAAAGGTTTTCCGTTTTGCAGAAAATTCATATTAGGTTGAAAACCTGTTGTTTCTAATCACACATATGGTGACTGCTACTCAGTAGTTAAGGTCTTGACCTTATCTTCTGTTTTTGGCCTGTGTAAGAATTAGTTATGAAAAAATACTTAGCGCTGGGCTTTCTCTTTAAATCCACTGCTTGCCATCCAGCCTGTGTTCTGCTTGCTTTCTGTGTGTTTGTTACTTCTGACTGTTCTTGATGCAAGTTGTGATGATCTTTGAATGATTTATGGTAGGAAATAAATTGGAAAATTTAAGTTTCCAGAATTCTTGTTAAACTTTGTAGTTAAAAACTAGCTGCATAGAACAGATCAAAAGCCTTCCTTTACAGTAATCAAAACAACTATTAAAATTGAAAATTTGTCTCTAAGGACACCTCATCAGACCAAGATGCAACAAAATTCACTGAAATTGAATTCATGTCTCACAAAAGTAGGATATAACTAGAGTATGAAGTATCTGGTTTGTGTTTTACAGCAGATGCTAAAGGAGACCAGAACTTTTACACAGACAATGTCTGAAGTGTACATGTACCTGTGTTGTTTTATTACTTTGTCTTTGCTGCCATCAGGCTTTACCATGCTCCGAGCCTTTAGTCACACAAACGGTAGGTGTGTGTTCCACCACGCTAAGTGTTGGCATCATCGTAAGTCTGTGCTGGCAATCAGGAGGGAAGATGTCAATGCTTGGGAAAGAAGAGCACCTCTAGCACCAAAGCATGTTAAGGAGTTGACAAAGATGGGATACAAGGTCTTGGTGCAGCCGTCAAACCGGAGAGCCATCCATGAAAAGGTAAGGTCCTGTTCTGAGAGACACAAGCAAAATCATAGTGCAGTTGTTAACCATGGTACAGGGAAAATAATGTTCAAAGGCCATTCATGAGAAAACATATAAACCCCCCTGAAACATGTACATTTTGTTGCTAAATGAGGAGTCATGTGCTAGAGGAAATGAAAAGGAGTTGTTTGTTTAGCCTTTAGTATTGGCACCATGGTGGGTTTTTGGAGGTTTTTTTTATTAATTTTGTGTCCTCTCATCACTCCCCCCATGAGTTCTAGGTTCTCATGAAGTAGAAGCTTGGGAATTCCTTTAACATTGGTCTTTTTGTCTTCTGTTTGTGAGAATGCAGGAGCTCTAAAAAGCCCTGTTAAAAGAACAGGAAAGATGAATCTGGTGAATTCCACTCTTGCATCAATCCTATTCCTCATGTGAAATGAGGAGACAGTTTTTTTCTTTAGTGCTGTGAGCTTCAGGACAGAGAGCCTTTACAGCTTTTGTAGCAGCAGTAATACTCTGTTGTAAGATAACTGAGAAAACGGATGGAAAGTGAAACAAAAGCAGGGAATAAGTGATTCCTAGTGCACATAACACCTTTTAATTTAATTTTAATGGTTTTTTTCATCAAAGCACAGATCATACTATGTAAACACATTTCCTTGGAAATTGCTCTTCAGCTTGGACTTGAGCTTATACAATTTTATAAAATCGCATGTCATCAGACTTCATATTTTTTAATTTTTCATATTTCTCTAAACTTATTTCTAAGTATTTGAACACCTTACAAAGGGCTGTTCATTATTGCAATGCCACAGGATACTTTAAATTTAGTAAAACATCCTTTTTTGTAGTCTGTAAATTTAAGATGCAGTACTTTACTAACACATAATTATAATTTGGCCTCATATAATAGGATAATAGCATAGTTATTCAATTTGATACTTGATACCTCTTTATCAAAGAATTTTGTGAATGTATCACATGCAGTAACGTGTTTCTGCTTGGTAGAATTATTTATTTTTCCTCTGTTCTTGTTGCTAATATGCTGAGATCTGAATAAGAAAAAAAAACACAGAAAAATTTTCTTTGATTTTTCTCTTTCATAGGAGTATGTCAAAGCAGGTGCCATTATTCAAGAAGATATTTCTGAGGCTTCTCTGATAATTGGTGTGAAGAGACCTCCAGAGGACAAATTAATCCCTAAAAAGAACTATGCCTTCTTCTCTCACACTATTAAAGCCCAAGAGGCAAACATGCCACTTTTGGATGAGATTTTAAGACAGGTAAATTATGTTATATTGAAGACCATTGTCATTTAACATGGGGTGAACTTAATGCTTAAGTGTGATGAAAAGCTTGTTGCCTAGTATGGTTCCTTCCACCACACGTACTTGTAGATGGCTAACGAGTTTTCAGTATCCTTTCCTGAAACTGAGTATTTCTTGCTCTCAGAGGATCTTGTATTTGCAGTGTTACTCTCTTCATGTGCACAAGGCAGGTAAGTTGTGAGCATGGTGTGCTCAAGAGAGGCTCTTTCTGAGCGAGAAGAGTTGTTGGAAAGTTACTAAGCTGGAGTGCATATTGGCTGTTTCAGAGCAAGGCAGCCAGTTCGTGCTGAAATGAGCAGCCTCTTGGCAGAGGATGTGAATGGGCTTGCAGCAGCTAGAGTGGCACATTGGGGAGCTCTGTGCAAAGAGGGCATGGGCAGTGCAGAGACTCTTTCAAACAAGAATTCACTGCAACTGTTACATTTTTATTTTTATACTTAAAATCTTATTACAATATATTTTTATATTACTCATCAGACTGTATCATGAAGAATGACAAAGTCATGTGAAAATGTAGTTCCTGGGAGAGCAGCGTGCCACAGACTGCATTTATTGAAAATTTTAATACTCAGTTTGCTGTATATTTTCAGGAAATTCGACTGTTTGACTATGAAAAAATGGTTGATCATAAAGGAATGCGAGTTGTGGCCTTTGGAAAGTGGGCTGGTGTAGCAGGTATAGTGTATAAAGTGAAGGCAGGCTTGCAACAAGTGACCTCCTGTAAAACTTCTGGTTGTCTGTGCTTCCTGAAAGATGAGGCTTGCGAGTTGTTTTTAACTGCATTTTAAATTCTTGCTTTTAACAGCCTTTTCCCATTCTGGTTTGTGCCTCCTACTTTCATGAGACAACATGTCAAATTGGCATGTGGATTCCTGACAAATCTAATATTTTATGTTATTGTCTTGAAGTCCTGTTTGTGCATTGGACTATCTGGAGCAGACTAAGTATCAAGAGATCAACTGATTAGGCTTTTTGATTAAAAAAAAAGGCTGCTGTCAGTCCCGAGAACTTGAACAACATCTGTTTGTCACTGTTATGCATTTAATCTGATTTTTGTGTGGCATGGGTCTGATTTCTTTCTACTGAACTTTAACACTGTTTCTTCAGGAGTCTCTTTTATTTCCTTCTTTGGGATCCAGTGATGTGGATACACCTCATAAAAGGATATCTGAATATTAAATTGTGCCTAAATGCATAAGGGGCCAAGAGCAAATTTAAGGTCACAGACTGCTATTAAATTTCTCTTTCTCTGGTTTTATGTAGACTTTCTTTAGAAGTAAAGTATTAATATAAAAACATAGGAAAATATCTGGGATGATTTGAGGCTTCAGTCAGTCTCTGCAGTTTCTAACTGTGCATATTTGTAATTTAGACTGGTGGTTCAATTTTCTGTTTTTTTAACAACAGGAATGATCAACATTCTACATGGATTGGGTTTACGGTTTTTAGCTCTGGGTCATCACACTCCTTTCATGGTAAGAGTATGTGTATATGTATTTTTCTTTAGCTAAATAACATTTTGGCATCTGCTAATTATCTGTATTTGACTATGGAAAATATCTTGATGGTTCTGTGTCTTTGATTTCAGCACATTGGGATGGCACATAACTACAGGAATAGCAGTCAGGCTGTGCAGGCAGTACGGGATGCCGGGTATGAAATTTCACTGGGACTGATGCCAAAGTCTGTGGGGCCCTTAACATTTGTGTTTACGGGCACTGGTAATGTTTCTAAGGTAAGAATAGTCTTCAAGGTGAAATGCTATGTTATTGTTAATAGAAATTCTTAGCATTTGGTCTCTATCAGGTTAAGTGGGTTGGTGGGTTCATTTTGTTTTCTTGGACTTCACATTTTCCTTTGCCAGTAACAATTTTTAAGTAGTATATACGGAAATGTTTAATATGAGATCATGCCTAACCAGGCTGACATGCCAACTTCTTATCAATGAACATGGATTAAATCTTACCGCTCCTCTCTTCCACTCTGCATGATTTCTATCTCCCCCTCTCCCCACTGTTTACTCTGTGCTCACAAGGTAGATGAATCACTCCATTAAAGTATGGGGAAATTAATTATTTTTTTCCAGCAACAGCTGAGTTTTTATGTCTAGATATCATTGACTTGGCTTACAAGTACTTGACTTCAGGGCTATTTTAGCCCTAATGACATAGGGAAAAGACTTACCCCTGGTTTTGGCAACAAAGATCAGTTAACAAGGCTCCAGCTATAAAGTGAAATCGCTGCCTGCATAGATGTGTTCTTTCTAGCCAAAAGGATGGTGTGTCTGAAAATCATTTGGTTGTGATCACAGTTCATTGGGGAAGTCATCTTGTAGTTCTTGGCGTTTAGAACAGCCTGGTTGATAAGGAGTGGCTTCAGGGATCTTTCCTAAAGAGAAGCCACTTCTCAGAGTGGTAGTAAAACCCTCTTGTGGCTGAGTTGAGGCCTCCCAGTTCAGCTATTAGAAATAAGAACTAGGCATTGGATTGTGGTTTAGGCATTCTGCAGTAGTGAGGAATGATGTCAATTCCTTGCCCACAAGGCACAGGCAGCTTAATTTTGAGTAAGCAGGGGTGTTGCCCTGAAAACTCAGCTTTGGAGCTTGCTGACATAGTTTCCAAAGAACTTTCCCAGGACAGTAACTATGAACATGGATATGTATGCATTCTTTCTGTTGTTACACGTCTTGTGATGGACATCTCTCATGGCCAATGCAGTTGAGAAAGTGTTATCCTGACCATCCAATCCCTGGCTGTGGTCAGAAGCCTATAAATCCTGGGAGAAGAAATAAACTTTCTCTTCCTTTCACCACACCTCAAGCTGTGTCCCTGTGATCTATTCATTGCCATAGGCAACACAGGGGTACCTGTGAAACAATGTGTACACCTCTGGAGGTGTTTTCTGGCAGGGCTATCAAATTGTATGTGGCATTTTATATTTGTTTTCAAACACCAAATGAGTACTGTTACATTACATTTATGATCTAATTAATCTAAATCCTACTTCGTGATTGCAGGGTGCTCAAGAACTGTTCAGTGCTCTCCCATGTGAGTTTGTGGAACCACATGAGTTAAAGGAAGTTTCCAGATCTGGAGGTATGCAGTGACAATAGTGATTAAAAACACTGAAACCCTTTTTGTCCAAATTTAAAAGCTATTTTTTTTTTCTTTTTTTTAACTTCAGATCTCAGGAAAGTCTATGGAACAGTGTTAAGTCGTCACCATCATCTTGTAAGGAAACGTGATGGACAGTATGATCCAGTAGACTATGACAAACATCCCGAAAATTACATTTCTCGCTTTCACATTGATGTGAGACTCTCTCCTGTTTTTTTATGAAAGGTTTTCTACAGTGTTTGTACTTACTACACTTTTGCATATTCATCATTTAAGAGAGCATTAACTTAACATGCTCGACCAGGTGCTTTCAGCTTCTTAAAGTACTAGGTGAAAACATCAGGCATCCGTAACTTCCTTTGCAGGTCGCACCCTACACAACTTGTTTAATTAATGGCATTTACTGGGAGCAAAATAGTCCTCGCTTGCTGAGTCGGCAGGACACTCAGAAGCTGCTGGTGCCAGTTAAATCTGCTGCTGGTGCAATGGATGGCTGTCCTGAATTACCACACAGGTAAGACAATCATTTCATTTGTAACAATTTTGCAGCACAATGATTAACTAACTCGTAATGTTAGGCAGTTTCACCATAGTATCTAGTAAATTATTCTATTTATTTTGCATTGTTCCTCTTGCATGTTTTACAGTGCCCCATTGATTTTGCTCTTGTACTTTTGCACTTTGCATTCTTGTTTTCACAGTTTGGAGTTTTTGAAAACATCACAGTAGAAATGATTAACAGGTATCAGCTGTCTTTCTGCAAAAGTAGTTCTGCCACTGATCTTCATACAGAATCCAATACAAACAAAAGTGTGATATCTGGGAATGTACCTTCTGCACCAGTATTGGTAGAAGTTTCTATATCTGAGCAGAGTTTTAGGAAAAGTTCTTCCTACCCTGTCTACCTTCCTACCATTTTGCTTGCACAAGTTCAATAAGTGTTCCTTAGCACCTCTTATTTCTGCAGCAGGCAATAGAAATGCTTCATAACCCTGAATAGTTTTAAGGCTAGAATGTGGGGTGCAAATCAAGAATTAGTCTCTTTTCAGTGGGGGTGGGAGCCACCCTTTCTCTAATAGCCCTGCCATAGATTTGGGGAGGACACGAAAATATATCCTGGTGAAGAATCAGGTCTTTGTGTCTTCTCTGCCAGCTCTTGACACTTTTCTTTCTCTCACATGACAAATAAATAGTTGAAGAGTTAACCTTCAGTGGAGCCAGACGTTGTGCATTAGGCTAACGAATCCTCCACCTGTACCTGCTATCTGTGAACTGGTAGGAGGCACGCGCTTCTTTAGGCTTCCTTTTAGGATGGGAAGTTAGTTTCATGCAGGATTGCACAGGCACAGCTTGAAGGATTTGGTAGATGGAAAATGAATGGGAGGTATTGGCAGCACATGGCATAGAGATAAGAGATCACAGTGAATGGATTCTGTCAGTCTTTCCATGAAATTGGATGCTGATGATTGGATATTGATATGAATGCAAACCTGATGACTACAATAGGGCCAAATTTCCATTATATTTCTGGATTCCACTGTTTGTGTTTTGTGGTCTTATAAATTGGTTGAGATGAAGAAGGCTACAAGTCTCATAGAACTTCTCACATTTCTTTTATTTCCTGTTCACTTGTGACCTTTTATACCTGTGTTTCTTAGTAAATTGTATAACGCTCTATTCCACTGTCTTTTTATTTTAATTGCTTTAGACTTCTGGCCATATGTGACATTTCAGCAGATACTGGAGGATCTATAGAATTTATGACTGAGTGTACAACAATTGACAACCCATTTTGTATGTATGATGCTGACCAGCATATTACTCACGACAGGTGGGAGAGCCCTTACTTTTTATTGTTTTCTATTGTAGCTTGTAGAGTGAAACATTATATTGAAAAAATCATACATTTATAACACTTCTGAAAGGTGGTACCTTTCAGGAACTAAGAAGTAGTTTAGAAGAGCTGTTTTCTCTCTTTCAGTGTTGAAGGCTCGGGGATTCTGATGTGTTCCATTGACAATCTGCCAGCTCAGCTTCCTATAGAAGCAACAGAGTACTTTGGGGATATGCTTTTCCCTTATATTGAAGAGATGGTAAGATCTTATGTATCCGACAAGGAGGTAAAAGGCTCAGAATTTGGTCTGCTTATTTCTTGCTTTTCTGGTCTCCTGTATACATTCAAAAGGAATCTGCTGTAGAACATAACTGACTTTGTACTTGAAAAAAATAAAAAAGTTTTTGAAGTCTTGAGGCAATCTTTTGAAAAGGAAACATGTGAATGAGACATGAGTGACCTGAATGTCTTAGGGATTTGTCAAGAACACTTTATGTAGGCAGAAAACAGGCTCTGGCAGGTAGTTCATTGCTTCTGGACCCTGCACTAGATGTAAACATCTGATTTTCTTGGGCACTCAACAATCCCTCACAGTCAGACTGCTGTCTGAATTCCTGTATTTTCCTAAAAGTCAAGTGACCCTAATTGCAGCCAGAAGTATTTCAAATGTACAAGATTCTGATATTGTTGCATGCATTTAAATGTTGCTTAAAAATCTTAATGTTTTACTTTGAGAAATATTTGGTAATAATATGACCTGATTTGAAATACCTTATCTCCATAGCTGTTATCAGAAGGCTCAGAACCTCTTGAAAAACAGAATTACTCACCTGTTGTTCGAGATGTAAGTTTTGCAATTTGGTACTCTTCTTGTCTTCCCCTGCTTTGAAACATACAGACGCATAAAGCCCTCAAATCTGTTTCATATGTTTCCAGGCAGTGATTGCATCCAATGGCTCCCTGACACCTAAGTATCAATATATCCAGAAACTGAGAGAGAGCAGGTAATGTAGGCTCTTAAAGTTCATTTGTTTCAGGATTTAAAAAGCCACCCTGTCTGCATTCTGTCTCTAAATGTCTCTAGGTTGATGACCTCCTTAATTCTTCACGCGCATTGCCTAAATCATTAACACGTGTTGTTAGTAACTTAAATTGAAGTTGAGAAAGTTGTAATTTTTCTCTTTCTTGCATTATGAAAACTGTTTTACCAGAGGCAGAAAACAGCCACATGCTAGTATTACTCTGTTACTCTTTGCCCTTTTGAAACAGATGTAACATACAGTCATTTGAAAGGAATGGCTGAAAGCAAAAGGCTCTTGAATATTCCTTGAATCTAGTTACTTCTTGTATGGCTCAAGTGCTGTGCTGTGTGGCATTGTTCTGTGACTGGATGCATTGAAGATACTCTGAGACTTTTTGTTACATTCATGCATGTACAGATTCAACTACCACTTCATCCACACCCTGTCACAGCAGTTATGTGCCAGTGGTAGCTTAGGGTGAATTAAGCTAACAAAAGTATAAATAACCTGCACATCCCTTCCATTCCCCTTGCCCCCTTACTATTGACAAACATCTATAGTTTACAAATTAAAAATGTTAATTTCACAATAAGTGGGTTCATGGTCATGGTCAGTGACAGCTACACTGTACATCTTATTAAAATTTAAATTGGTCTGGCTATAAGCAATGTACGCACTGAAAACATGGTGTGTTGGCTTCTGCATCTCAAACCTCTGCAATTTCCCTTGGGAACTTTGTGGCTTCTGGTTATGAACTTGTGCATGATGAATTATAGGTGAATTTTCCACACTAGGTAATGTGCTATTTGCTTCTCAGAGGCTTCAGCTCATAGTGATTTTTGTTCTGTGCTCTTTGATGGATGGCATTAAGAGGCTGTGTCAATAACAAGTTTTTTTATTCCTCACACAGTATGATGATCTGGTATTTTTTTAGATTCCTCCATAATCACTTGTATGGTCTTGTGTGAACTACCATGAGAATCTGGAGACTTCATTTCCAAGTGTGGTTTCTTTGGGTAGATTTTTGATATTTCTGCAGATCTGTGTGCTTCATGTGATGTTCATTTGTTCCTTGGTGTTGTTCACTTAGCTATCAGAAAAGCAGGACCTGTTAACAATACCCTCCTTTACTTTTCAAACTTCAGAGGTGATGCAAATGAAAGAAAGGTTTTACTGCTTAGGGTGTGATGGTTTAGATAGAGATGCACTCTTTTTCAGACCCTGTAGGAATTATGTGGCTTGTTTCCACTCTAGAAAAGTATTATGCTGTGCTCAGTTTAGTTTCTGAGGGTTCTATTTATACTAATTGTTAATACTCCTTCAAGTCTGTGAACATTTCAGACATAGGACACCCAGACTGTATAAACTGAACTGTCTTGAGTGCCATCAGATTTAGCAAACAAACTTATCTTCATCTTTGCACCTTTACTTGCTTCTTAAGTCCTACTGTTTTCTCACTCACAGCTGCAAAAGCACATCACATTAACAATGTAGATTTTATTTGTAACTGAATTATTTAAACCCATTTGTAGAGAATAAGCTTAATCTGGAGCTGTGTAGATTCTTTTCTCATACTTGATGGTTCATTTGGCAGCTCTTGTTTTTGCCTGTCCTAGAGTAAATGTGCTGTGTTTAAGTGTGACTTCATTCTAGGCACTAGAAAAGTTTCTAGTAAATATGACAAGCTGGATTGCAAAATCTAGCTTGCTTTCAGATAAGAATTTCCCCTTCATCAACACTCCAAGCTACCTACCACTTCTGTGCCCTAAAGAATGGAGAGGAATTCTTCTCTTCCTCTGCCCATAAGAGTACAGTCATGGAAGATGTTCTGATAGCAGGAGGAGGAGGAGGAGGAAAGTCCTTGGGTTTGCAATATAAAATGATATGATGGGCTTAGGAGACTTTCTGTGAATGTATTAAATCATGATTTAACTTTTTTTTTTTAAAAAAAATCAAATCTGTAAAACTTATGAAGGTCAAAATTTACAGTAATCTATACTAATAATTTGGATTAGAGAGTTGATACATTGGTACATACCATTCAGATTTAATTATCTGAAAAGGACGACTTTTAAAAAAGGCTCTGAAATAGGAGGAAAGGATGATGGAATATCTGAAATTTTGGAGAATAATTCAAGCTTTACAGTACTGATTCAATAGGCTTCAGATATATGATATAGATGTATTTGGTATTGGTTTAATTCTCTCCACTCAGAGAGTCTTTCAATGGTATTGTTTGAGGCCTTGTGCCTCTAAATGTACTCAGATGCTTCCTTCTGTGCTTTAGGTTGGACAATAGTGCTCTGTTTGTCTTGCTATTAGGTGTTGCTCTGACAGGCTTCTACATCATCTGTCATTGTTATGACAATTTTTGAAATGAAAAAATATAACCAAAACATTGACTTTTGGTCATGCCATGAGAAGTTTCAAAAACCTGAACCAAATATTATCTAGTAGACATATGGTTGGTCCTCTTCTAAGGTCAGCAGGTTTCAGCAGAGTGGACATCGTCTTGTCAGATAAATATCAGGTTTCTTTCAGAGGCATAATCTGCAGTGCTGGTATAAACTCTTAGTGGACAAAGGGGAAACTGAGGATCTTGCTTATAAAGATTCCCATGAGATTGTGTCTTTGAAAGTCCTACCTATTTATTGAAATTTATTTTCAGGGTATGGGATAAGAAAGGCCAAACCTCAGTCTCCATTAATTAGGTTAAACAGTAGGGCAGTGAACAGCTTTCTTGAATTTTTGGTTTTGCTAAATAACTTTTATCTATGTAGTCATATGTTAGACAGTTTCACAATCCTGATTTTATAACTTAATGCAAATTTCAGCTAGAAGGAGAACTAATTATAAATTACAAAAATGTGTATTCCTGCTATGATTCATACATTTCTGAGAGCATATTTAAACAACTGCTGAGTACATTATTCAGGTTGACAGAAAGAAATGCAAAATCTGATGTTAATACATTTTATACTGAAAGTCAACAGATCTACTTAAATTTATTTATGAGAGTAGTAATAGTTGGGTTGAAACACTGTGATGGTTTTCAAATCTGAATCTTGTCTGTAATGATGATTTCTTGGTTGGGCATTAACTTCTATTTGACTTTTATTGACTATCATGTTCCTGTGATGGACTGATATGAACTTAGTATAACTTACACAAAATATGCTTTCATCAGCATGATTTTGTGTCCTTAAACAGTTACCTGTGATGTAAAGGGAAGAAGGCAGAGCCTGGAATCCCTTTCTGACAGCCTGACATGACACTGGTGGCCCTCAAGTTGTCAGGTTACAGTAATTTGGCCATTGGGAAAAATACAACTGAGGAAAGTTTTGATAAACAGCTAGAAGAAATCGGAGAGGCAGTGGGAATGGAATGTTGATGGGTTTGATCATGTTTATGTTAGAGGAAAGAATCTAGAAGTTATGCAGCAGTAGAATGGAAGCAGTACTGGATAGTCCTAGAATAAATAGCTAGGAACTTGACTCCTGGTCTGAATAGAGCTCTTGGTTTGTAGACTTACTAAAAAATACTTCTTCTGTTAACCCTGGCAGATTACAGTTTCCTTCTGTGTGATTTTTAATTTTGCCTGTAACACCTTCTAGGGAACAGGCTCAGTCACTGAAGATGGGTGATGAGAAGAGGGTTTTGTTGCTTGGATCTGGCTATGTTTCTGGCCCTGTGCTTGAATATCTCACTAGAGATTCCAACATTGACGTCACAGTTGGTATGTAAGAATTTGTTTCCATTTCAGTATTATGTCTCACTGAAGCATGTGTCAGAACTCTTCTCATAAATAATAAATGGATGTGGTTCTGAGAAGAGACAAAGAAAATCTTTGTTATTACTCGCAGCAGAAAAGGGTTTTGTAGCTTGGTGAGCATTTTGAATTTACGTAATTGATTTTAAAATGACATAGCCATGTTAAAAGTTAACTGTTTGCATGTGTGAAATTAGACGTTTAGAAATGTTTGCATGTACGGAAGCTAAAAGTAGTTTTCCTTCTAACCTGCTTTAGGCTTGGGATTGGTTTTGTAGATAGTCACCTTATTGGTATGTGGCTGTGTTTTCAGCCTTACAAAACAAGAATATGAAAATTCTCCATCTGTATGAGTGAAGTATCTGATTTTCTTATAACGAGTGTCATGGTGGTAGAACTTCAGACCCTGACCTTCCCATGAGCACTAAATGCCTACTTGTTTATTCCTCTGTTTTCATTTTATCTGTAGCATATTTCAGGCTGGGTGTCCCAGCAGTCCCTTTCTGTAGCCTTAATGATGACTTCACCCTGATTCTGGGACTTCAGATCTAAAACTCAGGCTCTATTGCCTTCTTGTCTGAAAGATGCTTTGCTGGGAAGTGGTTTCCCTTAAAACTTACAGTTTTATTGCTGCTGATTGTTGTTGTTACTGCTTTGTTTTTTTCTTTCTTTATGCTACTTTCATACTTGGCTGCTTTTGCTACCCTTCATGGTGATAACCATAGCACTTCTAACCTCTGGGAAAAGATCTCCTAGGAAGAAGAGGGGAAATCTAGGAAAGCTGCACCCTTGTTATGAGCACTGCCTGAGGTGGAAGAGAGAAGGATTAGAGCAATGTGCAGTGTCCATCCCTTTGGCACTATAGAGGTTGCATCCACTCCCTGCAGTGCAGTAGCAGGAAGAGAAACCAGGTGAACTGGAAGATTTGTTTTGCCAGGCACTGAACAAACATAGCCTCTTATCTGGGTAGCTTAAAAACATGCAGTTTCTACAGCACACACACACACAAAGCACAGAAGGAAAGAGACATAAATATATTGTTTAATATTTGACAGCAGGCAAGGAGGTGCAGAAAACACAAAGTGCGCATCACAGTGCCATCTTTGGTTTCCTGCTGTTAGGCTACACCACTTTAAATCCAGATGACGAAAACTTTAATTGAGAAACCTTCAACTTTTTTTAGTTTGAATTTGTAGATGATTTTGCCTAGCTCTTTTCCCACAGCACAATTTGATTTGTAGGATATAGAGAATCATCTTCTAGTAATGGTTGTTTCCCACTGACTCTGGAAAGGCCATAAGGAAATAAGGCACAGATGCTTTTAATTCTCCATAAGCTTGTGCCCTGCCTGCTGCCTTCTTTGACCATTCCTTTTTCCTGACTATGTTCTCTGGCTTGTGCTGTCAGCGTAGTGAGCTGGGCAAGGAAATTAGTCAGATGTAGCAAATACTGGTTGTGTTACTGTGGTTCTCTTTTTCAGTTCTGCTTTCCTTATAATGGTAAGTGCTGATGCCTTTTTATCCCCCAGAAGCTTGTGTCCCATGTGCTGTCTTCTTTGGCCACTCCATTTTTGTTCTTTCTGGCTTGTGCTGGCAGCATGGTGAGCTGGGATGGGAATCAGTCAGAGGTGGCAAATACTGGTTGTGTAGTGGATGTCTTTCAGTTCTGCTTTTTTTATAACGGTAGTTAGGAGTAGGGAGGAAGAGACTGGGTTTATCCCATTTAGTTATAATACAGTATTTGGGATTGGGAGGACTAAGCCATACATAAATATTAAAAGTAGTCAGTTTGAACTTTTTACTCACACTTTACTTAAGCTAAAGCTTAATGTTTCTATCTTTGTCATGTTAAAAATGGTGTTGTGAATTCATTTTTGCTTTAAGCTATTAAGCTGTTCTTAACTGTAAATAGGAATTCTGTTAAAGTGTATTGAAAGAGTTTTGAAATATTCCTATTTAAATGTGTGGAATGAGGGATCAAGTAAGTTTTTCTGAACACATTTGTTTACTAAATGCCTGATTGTTCTTCAACTGTTAGTGAAGGAAAACAAGCATGCATCTGTTTCTCTTTGGGAAATATGGCACAATTATACATGGGTGTGCTTTGAACTTAGCTTCATCTACAGGTAGCAGTTTGTTGTTTTATTTTTCAAACAGTATCTGTCATGAAGGAGCAACTTGAACAACTGACAACGAAGTACAGAAATGTTACTCCAGTTCATATGGATGTCCTTAACCATGAGGAAAAGCTGTCCTCTTTGGTGAAAAAACACGACCTTGTGATCAGGTCAGATTTCTGTGTTAGCCATGATAGGCTCAACCCTAAGTCATGCTGCTTCTTTTAGTTGATTGACTGAAATCAATGCATAAACTTTCATTTTTAGTGACCAAGATGTGGGGTCATATTTGTGTGTGTAAGTAGTTGTAACTGGCTGCTGCCTTCTCATGTAGTGGGGCATCAGATCTTTAAAAGGGGTTTTGACTTCTTCAGAAGTGTTTGCCAGTTAGGTGGACTCCCTTGTTAATGTGAAGGGCTGTTAGCATCCACAAGCTTATGCGTCCCTGGGATCAAACTTTCATGTTCACAAGGGGAGGCAAAATTCTGACAACTTGGTAATTTCTTCTGAATATCCCATTAATAAAGAACTCATTCCAGATATTGATACGGGGAAGGAACTTCATAGTCTTTGCCATTTGTTTCTTTTGCCACGGGTGTCATGAATGTTGCTTCTCAAAGTAGTTCACCAAGAACTTTATAATGCAAGCTTTCTCAAGGATGGTTTTTCAGTTTTGCATCTTCTAAACCTCCAGCATGCTTGTTTAGAAGATGTCTTTGGAAAGAGGTCAGTGGTTTGTGGTTTGCAGAGAAGTGTGACAAAAGATGCTGTCTCAGGAATGACTCCCCTGTTGTTTAGTGCCCTGTTCTGAGTGCATACAACAATGCTGTCCTGATAGGGTAGTGTTTCCCTTTCATAGGTATGGAGCTGCTCAGGGCAAGGTAGGTATGACTGTTTTTTTGAGCTATTACTTGAGCTCTTTTGTAGGCATTCAAAAAGCTTTTGAGTGTCTTTCCAGTGACAGGATAAGTAACTGGTTGAATTTTGATGTTTCATGATTCTCCTTCATTTGTAGTTTGCTGCCTTATTCGGCACATCCTTTTGTTGCTAAGAAATGTATTGACAACAAAGTGAACTTGGTAACAGCCAGCTACTTAACACCAGCCATGAAAGAACTTCAGGAGAGGTAGGTGTGAAAGCAGCATCTCCCTGGTGTTGCTTCCTTTTTACTGCATTATCTAAATATTTTGTAGTCTGTTACACCTGCAACACTGAGTGTGAATCACTGCTTTCTGAATTCTTTCTGCTTCTCTTTCTGTGGTGGAGGGCCAAGTAACCTTCCCAAAGGTGCATGTTGCAGAGTGGAGCAAGGAGTGCATACCCCAACCTGGTTAGATTAATGCTCTAAATAATGGAATGTATTTTTCTGCCTGCATCATCCTATTTCATGTTAATGTGCTTTTTCCTCTTCCCTCAGACCTGTTAAGATGCTTGAGCTTGGCTGATATTCAAACTGAGTAGCTGTGCTGTCATATTCTACCAGCAAGCTTGTTTGTCATCCTTTGCCTTCCTCCAGTAAAAACTCATTCTTGGCTTAGTGTATCTACAGTAATCTCCTCCTTCATGCTTTTCTTTTGGATATGCCCACTGTATAATTTTCAAATTGGTGACAACTCTAACTACCCTAATGTGTCTGTTGTCATACTTACTATATAGGCTAGAAAGTTTTTTGAGTATGCAGCTTCTTCTAGGTGCTCCTCTGAGTCACAGTACTGGAAAATATGAAGCGTGTTCAGGTGAAGAATTGTATGTGCTGTGTCTTTACAGAAAAGAGAGAAAAGGTAGAAAAAGCTAGACTGTTTGAGAATCAGTGTTGCAGAAAGTGAGGGGTATTTAGGGGCCTCTCCTACCATTCTTATTGAGGATACAGCATGCTGTCAGGGAAAAAAATTTAAAAGGGCAAAAAAGACAAATTTATTTTGAAAATAAAAGAAACCCTCAGTTTGTAGTAATAAGTGAACTCCTGTGGGTCTGTGGGCAACTATTAAGAAAAAAAACAACCCAAATACTTGTAATTGTGGAAAGCAGACCTTTTAATCTCACTTGTCAGAGCTCCTTAGGACAATTGTGGCTAGCTCTGTTCTGCCCTCTGCATTACTACCTTCCTGCCTTATAGCTCTGTCCAGGAGATGTGGGATATAGAGTAGCTGGTAGAAATTTATTTTTTCACCAGCACCTGGGTGCAAATAAGTAAGAGAAACAAAGGTTAGAAGGCTCTTAGATGGTTGCCACTTTTCAGGATTTAATATCTGCTTTTGTTTCTTTATTCCCACAAACTGCAGACAGAGCCCAGAATTTACTGTGTTAGAGAAAGTTCACTGGGCAGATTGGACAGATTTACGGAATTGTGAGTATTCTGATGACTCTGTATTTCTGTTATTTTTAGTGTAGAAGCTGCTGGTATTACAGTTGTCAGTGAAATGGGCTTGGATCCTGGTCTTGATCACATGTTAGCGATGGAATGTATTGACAAGGCGAAAGAAGTTGGTGCTACGGTAAGGTTAGCGGGTAGTGCACAGTTCTGCCAAGATTGTATTAGTAAAGTTGTTCTTTTAAAACCAAAGAGGTTTTGAGCATGTCACAGATGTGTAACAGACTCTGGATATTTTACTTTTTCTGATGCTTTGAATTTCATAGCTACAAATTCACTTGGGGAGACCATCAACTAAGATGGCCTTACCCCAGTGTATCTTTTGGTTTCCTCCCCTTTACAGGCAGTCCCCTCCCCTCAGATCCTTCTGATCTGGCCCATTTGGCCAGAAACAGAACAGAAGCAGAAATCTTAAGACTGATGGGGATTTTGCTGGGTAGATCTCTATGCATCCTGATCTGTCTTTTCACTGTTTCTTTTCCTGTGGATAAATCTGACAGGTTATATCGTACACTTCTTTCTGCGGTGGCCTACCAGCTCCAGAGCACTCTGACAATCCTCTGAGATACAAGTTTAGCTGGAGTCCACAAGGAGTGTTGCTGAATACAGTTCAGTCTGCTACATATTTAAAAGATGGAGAGGTGAAGTAATGGGAAAATTTTCATTTGAAACCATACTGTGGTTGGCTAAGGAAGGAATTGAGACTTGAAAGGTGCTGTGTTTACTTTCAAGCCAGTGGCAGTCAGCTGCCTAAGCCATTTGCATAAATCACTTATCACTTGTAATTTTAAAATAAAAAAAAATAATTGCATATCACTATGTTTGGAGCATGATGATACCTAGCTGCTGCCAGCTTTATTCTTACTTACTATGTGGAAACTGACTGCCAGGAAGGAATTTGTTCTAAAGATTAAAGCATTGGATTTGAGTTGACTTTTCTGGGTTCAACTTCCATTCTGTTGGGTGTTGCTTTTGCTACTTATTTGCCCTTTCTTTGGCCCTGTGAAACAAAGGTAAGAGTGCCTTATGTGTTCATAAATCAAACAGCTTCATTTTGTACTTGCACAATGCATAGTAGAGCACTTGATTCCTTTTTCTTTTGGTGCAATGTGTAATACCAATTTATCACTGAGTGGGTTTTGTGAAATGCTTTTTGGTCTGTTTTATAGAAGCTCTGTTTTGCTGTTTGTGCAGGAGTCATTAGACTTAACCTCACAAATGTCACTGCTTCTGTTTTATGTAAACATTGTAATTGATTTGTGCAAAGCTATTGCAAGCCATTATCACATTTCTGCTTTCCAGCACTATCTATTTCCACTGTCACTTGCTCAGAGTAGTTACTGCAATTGTCAAGGAGACTGCCTTGTATAACCACTGTAAAGTTTAGCTAGTTGCCTAAAACGCTTTGATCTGCAAAACTTAGAAATCTTTTGAAATGTAATCTTTTATGTTTTATGACATTTTGGCTCTCTACTGTTCTTATGAAAGTAAGAAAGGAGAAATTCAGGGATTGTTGGATCATTATTTAAAAGCAATGAAGTATAAGCTTCAGATGAAAAGGGTTCTTGGAAAATGTTAAAATATTTTGAATTTAATTCTGATCTGGTTCACCCATTGCTAGGAAAAATTAGATCATGCATATGAATGAATCATGAGAGCACTAGATGAGCTTGTCAGTAAGTTCTGCAATTTTTTCTCCTTGCCACTAAATACTTATCTTTGACCATTGGATTCTTTCTCACACCTTTCTTGCTTGGCAAACACAACAAGATCTTTAGGCATTGCAGCAAGCTTCACTGCTTTAGTATTTCTTCTAAAAGTAAACTTTGTCCCTTTGCTCAGAAATCAGAAAATGAGTTTGTATTGATGCTGCATAGCAGATCTGGGCTTTAGCTGCTTGATGGAAGCAGGGTTCAAGGCTGTGGTTGGGAGTGGTAAGAGAACTAGTCACCCGGATTTTTTGTTTTCCTTCCATGATGCTTTGTAGCTTCAAGTAAAGATACACATGGGCAGTAATTTTATATCCATGTGATATCGCTTGATTTATTTTAATCTTTAAAAAAAAGGAACAAACATCCATGATTCTGTTTATGTCTGCCTTGTCTCCCATATAAAAAGCACCAAACAAAACCTAAACAAGATAATAAAGTATTTGACCAGAAAGCAGGGAGCTCATGCTTAGAATCTCCCCTCACACTGGTGCAGTTAGGGACATGCTCCAAAATTACATTAATGTAAATGAAATGGGAACCTGCTGTTTTAATATAAGTGCAGCAGGAATTAACTGTGTATGTGAGAAGAACATGGCTTGTTTTAGCCCTTTGTTTAGTAATGGCTGACACATTGCCTGCTCTTCCTGCACCAGATATGATTAAATGGCTTGGGCAACTGCTTTATTTAGATTGGGCCTTTGTTTGCACTTGGAACACCAAACATGTTTTTCCTGTTTTTGAGCATACTTTATCTTTTCTGTTCTAAAGTAAGTTGAATGTGACTGCACCAAAATAATATTTGCTGTTCTTTCACAAACTTTAGATTATCAATATTCCACCTGGAGGAGCTTTACTGGATTCTGTTACTCCAATGGATTTTTTCCCAGGATTAAACCTTGAAGGTTTTCCTAACAGAGACAGTACAAAATATGCTGAGCCATATGGTATTCAGACAGCTCGCACTTTACTGAGAGGCACTTTAAGATACAAAGTAAGTTGTTGGTGTTATTATCAGTAATTATTGTTTTCCTCAAGAGATGAATGTTGTAATTTCAAGAAAACTGTGTATTTAAAACTCAGCTTTTTATAGGCCTGTACTTGCTATTTATGAGCTCCCCATTATGCCAGTTGAGAGAAAACCGAAAGCAGTTATTTGATTTTTAATGTAGCTTTACCTGCTGCATTTAACAGGTATTTGTTGCAAAATGGAAATATAGTTTTATTTGTTTTAGACAGCTGGTCAGTTGACTTGCATAGTCTGTGTTTCCTCTTTTTATTCTGGCTCTGTATCTGGTGTCAGATCAATAAAACATTTAAAAAATTAATAAATTCTGTTTAATTAAATTCCCATGAAAAATAGAATGTATAAATCTTACAGAAAATTATGATTTTCCACCAATCTGAGAAAGTTTTTCATTAAGTACCTAGAAATCTTAAATTTGAGGAGCTTTTTAATTTTGGTCAGCTAAATAAAATATTAAGAGATAAATGTCTTTTCCTTCTAACTGATTGAGTCTTTTCCTTTCATTTGTTAGATATCCAAAGCAGAATCAAAACAAAATATTTTTTTCTTTCAGATTTTCTTTTTTTAAATTTTTTTAGTCAATATACATTAAGAAGAAATAAACCTAAAACCATATTGAAAGTTTGAGAAAGCTTTTATGGATGTTGTATTATGTCTGTTAAGGTTTATGCCAAGGCTTAAGTTTGTTATTTGTCCATAGCCTGAGGAAAGTGTATGTCCTTTTTGTCTTAATTCCTCTGTTGCAATACAACAGGATTTTTTGAGGGAGGGAGGCTTGCTGAGAGGAGATAAAGGTGTGGAAGAAGATGGAAGACCAGTATGGGGGAAAAAGGGTTATAAATTGCAATAGCTCTCTTTTTTTTTAGTCTAGATACAATCTCTTTTTCAGAAGGTAAAAGTATGTGGGAGGCATCTATCTTATTGTGAAATCCTAATTTGTCAGTATCTGTTCTTCTGTTTGGTGCCTGTTAAAACTTTCTTCTTTTGTATGTGCTAGCACAAGGAACTGCAAAAATGTCAGGGTGACATTCCAAGTGGTTGTCAGTGTGCTGCAAGAATGCTGTTTCTGTGGTTAGTGCTGTTTTCTTAATGCCCACAGCAGGGCCAGCACTTTGGGCTGGGGGGATGTTGGTGGGGCTGTGGGGAAAGGTTTGCCATACCTTCACCTGCATGGTACTGACATGCCAGCACAGAGTGCTGAGCAGGACAGAAGTTAGTGTTGGCCCTTTGCACATGCTGCTGTGCTGCAGAGCAGAAAACAATCTGCTCACTGAAGAGGCAATCATCTCCTAGAAGTGCCTTTTAGAGATTAAGTTTAGATAGCTAATGGAGTCAGTTTAAAAAGAGGTGTCACACAGAAGGATCTCGCTGCAAGGCCATCTGAGCTGGTAACCTAGTGCTTGTGGAAGTGACTTCTAGTTTAATTAGTCTTCTTTCAGGGTGCTTTATTTCCTCCATTCTGCTTTTTTAGTGTTTCTAGTAATTTGCATGTAAGTGCTCTCAGGTATCCAGCAGCTGTGTGGGAATGTTAATGGGATAAAAACAAAAGTAAGCAGAAATCAGTTGAGACTTCTTTCATTTTGCAGCCTAACGCAGCCTTTGCAGTTCCTTTCAAACTATTCTACTGCTTTGTCTGTCTGATATTCCTGAAGATGAGAAATAAGCACACAGGATTCTTACCTTTAAAAGCAGCCTATGTGATGTCCGCACAATCACAATGGTGTGAAACTGGGTGAACAGTGTTCTGCGTTGTGCTCTGTGTATTGATGACAGAATAAGCCATTAAAAAAAAAATATTGAAAAGTGGGGAAGGGTGGAGGGGGCTGGGGAAGACACTGCCCTGTGGCAGTGACCTCACTGGCATCAGGTTATTGTGGCTGACTTCCCAAGAAAATAATTCTAAACTGCCACGGTTATGTCTATCACTACTTTCAAACCAAGGAGAAATACCTGTTTCAAGTGATTAATATATTTAATGGTGTTATTCTTTTATTTCAGGGGTACTCCAGAACTATGGGGGGCTTTGTAAAACTCGGATTAATTAATCCAGATCCTTATCCTTTGCTAAACTCAGCTAAGCCACCTCTAACCTGGGTGAGTTACTTTGCTTGCTCTGCCTTTTGTCCTCTGTTTTATTGATGATTTTCCTATTGCTAGACTTGGGTGTACTTAGCAATGAGAATCTTGTACTGCATCCTGATCTTTGATTTTTTTTCCTGGAAATGAGGAAGACTTTCTTCAGCAGAAATGGAATAGGGTGCTGTAACAGGTTCCCTGATAGACTCTGATTGGAGGCTTTCAGGTCTCAGCTAGACAAAACCATGGCCATATTTTTATGAATCGTCTTATGTTTTTTGTTAGTCACAGTCTAGTCCTCAGTGCTGAGTTTACAGTGTCCTTTTTGTTACTGGCTGATGATCTTCAGTGTAAAAGTATTTTTTAGGGCATCAAGAAGGATTGATGGAAGGAAGAAGGAAGAAGAGATTGTGCATAAAGGAGTATATTACAATTTTTTTTCTGTTGAAAATCTATACAAGCATTTTTTTTGTTCTTCTGTTATGCTGCTTTTCTGTCTTGATTTTGGGTGCCTTACTTTATCTTTATCTCAGCCAAGACATGACTCTGATGTGATGCTGTTACATTTGACAGTCAACATTTTCATTGTTTCTGTGGACAAAAAGGGTATTTCATATTTCAGTATGGGATGAAGAGAGCTGAAGAATGTCTTGAGTATTCTCAGAACCAAGAAAGCAGAAGGTGAAGAGGCCATAGTCTTGCTTGTCTCTGACTAACATAGTATTGGGAAGATGAGCAAACTCCAGGAGTTTTTGGGTGGCCATATTGAAATTACTTTTTTTTCTTTTTTTTTTCTTTTTTTTTTTTTGAGATTATTTTTGTCTACTTTCAGTTTTAGAGTTGATATTTTCAAGTTTTCTTTGTAAAAAGGGCTGGAATTTCCAGTTCTTCTAGCCTCAATGATTAAGTATACAGTGTTATGTAACTGTAAAAATAGCTATAAACTCACTATTCTCACTGCAAATATTTTTTTAGCAATATTTTTACATCTTTATACTTTTCCTTTATCTACTCTGCCAGAGAAGTAGAAGAGATGAGCTAACCTGAGCTTGTAGACTCTGCAGTGCTTGCTTATTTCATATCTTGCTCTTTATTTTATATCTTGCTCATAGTTCTTTTTATTATCCACTTTGCTGTGAATGAAGCAAGCAATGATAAGCATCTAGGTGGCACAAAATGGCCTTCAGATATGCACAAGTATCATGAAAAATCTCTTTGGTAATACAAGATTGCCAGAGCCTTGTTCATCTTATTGGTCTGTGTTCTTCCTTTTGGAAGGGATGTTCTCCATTTCTAGACAAACTGAGAGATATCCTATCTCTGAGTTTTCACTCTGTCAGTCTTCTCTTTCATCTTAATATTCTCCTAGTGTTCCTTGTTTATGCAGGTTTCTATGTTCTTTCTTTGCTGCCAGAGGAAGGGATAAGACTAAAATGTAGGGGGAAGTAGCTGAGAGGTGGGGTATAAAGACTTTTAGGAAAAGATAATCCCTATTTTCACCTGCTGTGATTAAAATTCTCAATCTTTCTCACTTTCCCAGTACACATAAGCTGTCTTCTCAGAAGTCCTGGATTTTAACTGATCTTAGTGGAGTAGCTGGTTCCTAAAACCTTGATTGAGGTGGAGTGGGAACAGATGTCAGGCCTTCATGAACCTTTTTTGTTTTCAAACAGAAAGAGCTCATGTGCAAACTGGTTGGAATTAAGTCACCTGCTGAGCCCGATGTTCTTAGAGAAGCTGTATTTAGCAAACTGGAGAAGGACAAAAGTCAGCTGGAAGCAGTGGAATGGTAAAATGTTCCAAAGATTTTGAGAGTTTAAGAATAAAAAAAGAAGTGTTTGCAATTCTAGCCATTTTGGTTCATGTTAAGACTGTTAAACTGGTATGCCAAACAGCTGGAAATTAAAAAACTGAGATGAAGCTGCTGATAGGCAATGATCTAAGACTTTCTCATTTCTTCTGCCAGGTTAGGTTTATTGGGAGATGAACTGGTTCCAGCAGCAGATTCCATTGTAGGGGCTCTTGCAAAGCACATGGAGACGAAGCTACCCTTTGGTATGTGATAAAGTCTTCATGGGTTTGAGCAGAACAAGGCAATATCTTTTATAATCCTTAACTAGATTAGTTTGTTCACCTTAGTTAATAAACCTTCATCATAGTTTTTTTACTGTATTGTGATGTTCCCTACTTCCCCAATTTATCCTTTCCCTGTTACACTTTTAGTTTGATTTTAGTATTCTTTCCTCCATAATAGTCCTCGCCTTCAGTCATTCCCTGATTTACCTGCTGTGTATGTGTAGTGCCTTGCTCTTCAGGGACCTCATCTCAATATGACTGAAATACAAGTAATGAATAGTTTGTGTGCTTTTCTTTTAGGAGCTGGAGAGAGAGATATGATTGTTATGAGAAGTGAAATAGGTCTCAGGCATCCTTCTGGCCATTTGGAAGACAAATTTATTGATCTGGTGGTCTATGGGGATAACAAAGGATATTCTGCAATGGCTAAAACAGTAGGATACCCCGCAGCTATTGCTGCTAAAATGGTTCTAGATGGTAAGTGGCTATTCCATCTTCAGTAACAGTATTTCAATCCTCTGTATCTTCCTGCCTGTAGAAGGTAAATATGTAGTGTTTTGTATGTTTATGTGTATTTTTTTTTTAATTTGTCAGACTCTTCCTGTCTTATTTACAGGAATTTTTAATCTGCATGTTTGGATGTTCAGATGTTCAGTGACAACTCTTAATTTACTGCTTAATCCACAAAGATTTTTAAGTCATTTAATATTAAGTGTTACATTGAATATTAAATGTAGCGTAGAGAAAACCTTTAGCATGATAAATTATAATTGATTATGTCACAGGGCTGAAAGATTCAGCAGCTCCTTGCAACTCGATCTGGCTGTGTCCAGCACAGCAACCCCCACCTTGCCCACAAAATCCCCACTGTGCAGCTACCAAAGCCTTTCCAAATAAACCTGCTAGAGCACTAACTCACTAACACTAGTAGTTAGTTACTACTAACTAGTAACTACTAGTGTTAGTTACTAACACTAACTATGTGTCTTTTTCATGCCTTTATTTCAGGTGAAATAACTGCCAAAGGCATGGTCATACCTTTGACAAAGAATGTTTACGGGCCAATACTTGAGCGCGTTCGGGCAGAAGGCATTATGTACAGCACTCGCAGCGTTATCAAACAGTAACTGAAAACTGTGGATTTAATCAGGTTTTGGCCTCCTTTGGTTCCCCCACCTCCCCTTCTAGAATCTCACTTTGGACCAGCTAAGGGCATTTAAGACCTGCCATTTCATACACAAATGTTGCCTTCCATAAAACCCGCCACAAGGCTTGATGTAGAAACCATAGATACTCACAGACTGTGATATTTTCCTCTTAAAATTCTTAAACTTCTATGTACATGTTTCAGCATCAATCAGAACTTATATCTTTTCTAAAATGTCTCAGAAGGGTTTTTTATTGTTATTAGAGTTTATCTTCTAAGTCTATAGCGTTGTTATTGTGACAAATTTTAGCTGGAAGAAAAATCTGTTAGTGGATTATTTTGTGGTGGAAAAGTCTGGGTAATGAACTCCACTGATGAAGTTTGATTGTTCATGTGGTAAAAATAATTTTTCAGAAAAATGGAGATGAACATGATACTTAAATTTTAAGTCTGGTTGTCCCTTTCACTTTAGCAGTATTCATGAGTGTTTTCACAATAACAGTATGCAAAAGATAGCTAGAAATTCTGCACTACTAGCAAATAAGATCTTGTTAAATCTTGAAAATGTTCCATTCTTAAATATTTGAAACCTAGATCTTAATATTTTTAAATCACTTTATAATGAATGTAAATTTAAATTCATTTGAGGAGGGAGGAAATTTAGAGCCAGCTTCCCCCCATACCCTTTCTTGTTAAAAAGTGGAAGCTGGTTGCAATATATTGAAATACCTGCTGTTAAATGTTGCCTTGTGCTGTGGAGAGAGCACATTAACGTTTGGCTCTGCAGCTAGGAAGGGCAGTCTCAAATACAGCACAGTTACTGTGCTTGGAAGATGCTCCAAATGACATGTTTACTCTTCCCACTTACACTGCATGCCTCATCCAGGTTAAGTACTGTTACGAAGGGAATTCATTGTGTAGTATATGCAGCTTTGGAATGCACTATGTTTAGAGGTTGAAATTGCCACTTTTTGAGTTAGCTTCTATCCTTCTGCTTTCATGGTTTTGAAGCGTTCACTTGGGAACCTATGCCTACTACTCCGAGCAGTGTCACTTCAGGCTGACAGTTTGCCAACACACCAGCTCATTTGCTGCTGAGTACTGTGCTGTCAGATGTGTCAGCCCTGCTCTAGCTGCAGTTTAGCCACATCAGTCCAGAACTGAACTTCAGCCCAAGTGCAGCTTTTCTGTAACGTAGCACAAGTTGCCTCCTTTCATTTCAGACCTGCTTCTCTGGCTTCTGCTTAGGGATTTCTACACCACCTTGCAAGTCTAAACATGGCTTAGACTTCACCAGTCAGGTCTGTGAGGTATAATGCTGTGGGCAGGTTGTATTTGGACTGGTACCTGTGCACCTGCCTAGAGCTTGCTTTTTCTAAAGCTGCATACTGATGCAGGAAACTGCTTTCAGCTTTGCTCACAAATGCACTTTGCTGATAAACGCACAGCCTTTTCCTTCCTGAGAACCAGTGCTGTAATCACAGTTCCAAGAGGCTGCAATTCCAGGTGTTGTTTTGCATGGTAGAAAAAGCAGCCATAACAATAATTCAAGTTTTGATCTCTAGGTTTTGCGACTCAGGATTTGGATTTTCTTCGTGCAGATGAAATGAAATAGCAGCTGCTAGAGTTAGGTGAAAGGAATGGAAGGGAGAAAGAAGGGCAGAGTGTTACTGTGAAAGAGAAGGACTTTTTATACTGAATCAATGCTTTTTTAATCCAAATTTGGATTCTGTTACAGATCCATGCATATATCACACAAAATCCTGTCTCCATAAAGATGTTTTGCTTCCCATTGATGTTACAGGCTGTTGGTCTGTTGTCTGTCTGTTAGACACAGCTCGGGTAAGGATGGAGCCTGCAATGAATATTCTGCTCTCTGCTGCTTCCTCCTCCAGGTAGATTAATGGCCTACAAATAAAGGTTAAAGTTACATTTGTATCTGCTGGTCCCTTCCAGTCCAGCTTGGTGAGACCAGGATTTTACTTGAGAATTCTCTGTTCCCTCCCTTAGCCCACAAATACACAGCCATGGAGTTGTTCCTCTGTATATATGCATGTACCATACTTGCTTTTCTGCCTTGGAAGTGCAGTGTGGGATGAAAATCAGAATTTTTTACAAGTATCTAATATTTTTGGAGCATTAAAGAATGAGCACTGCAGTGTTTTCATCAAGAAACACTGCTACTATTTTTGAAACATTTTATATTGGAATATATTCCTAATTCCCAGTGCAATGCTGCATTTTGTTTTCTATGTTTAGACTTAAATGAATTTATTGCTTATCTTTTTGTATGAAGATTATACTTCTCAGTTCTCTTTGCATATTACTGGTAAGATAATTGTATCTTATACATGAGATTGCTTGAAAAATAAATCTGAAATCCTCTGTTTTGTTGTCATGTTGTCTCTACAGTCTAATAATAAGATGTACCTGGGATTTAGTTTTTCACGTAGATGGTTGTATTGAAAGGATGCCTACACGTGGACTTTTCTCAGTGCATGAAATACCTCTGCATACTTCTTGCTAGACTCACAGGAGAAAACTCTTCAAGAATTGTTTAAACAAGCCCATCTATATATTTATATACATATATATATATATATATAGGTATAGCAGTATCTAGATAATGTTCAGCTATAATCTCAAGAGATTTTTTTTCAGCACATTTTGTTCTTGGGCACAAGGACAACTACTGAAGTGTGGTAAGCTACAGAACAGTAGATGTATGATCTCTCCCTGTGCCCCAGGAAGGCATGGAACCTTGGTGTCTCCCAGCCTGTCTCAGCTTGAGGACCTTGCTCAGCTGAATACATGGCTTCTGCTATCACTGCCTGTGCTGAAAGGCTCTTAAACTCTTTGTTCACATCAGGCTTCAAGGAACAGATTGTTTCACTCTGTCTCTCTCATTTTTTCATTTTGGAATTTATACTATTGCCAGATCTTCATGACATGGAAAATCACAGTTTCTTTCTGAAATGAAGGTTCTTGAGCCCATTACACTCAGACTGGTTTCTTTGCCTCTGTATTTCACACTCTCTCAGCCCCAGATATTCCTACAGGTGAGGATTATATCCCTTGGAGGGACTGGCGTACAAAAGTACAAAAAAAAGTACAAAAGCCAGGAAAAGGTGTAAGCTCATAGCAAAATAGCTGTTAATGGGTGGAGAAAATGGGCTCTAGTGGTTGTGATTAACCTGGAAAACTAAGAAGATGATGGGGAGAAAAAAAATTAGCTGGGAGTGTCTACCAGAATTTATCAAGGCAAATCACACCATCTCAAATATATTCCTACTAAAGTACTGTGTACAGGTTGTGACTATCTGGAAACAAAGAAATTAATTCCATAAGCCATAAGAATTCCATTCCATAAGAAGTTTTGTGTTTTTTTCCCATCACTTCTTTTGGCTTTGAAAGGAAAGAATGAATTTGAAATGGAGGGGAATTGGACATGATGTGGGCAAATATTGTGAAAGAACCTTCACTTTTTTCTTGTCCCTTTGAAACCCTAATCCACTAAAGCACAAACCTGTGAGAAGTGGATGGTCAGACACAGGCCTTGCTGCCGGGAAGTAGTGAAAACTAAGACTATAACCTATGACACCTCAGACCTAGGGTAGCAGTTGGGCCTTTGTTTCTTTTTTTAACCCCAACAAGACAATATTGTTATCTCCTCCCCTGCTGTGCTTTGTTTATGCTTCAGAATGAGAGAGAAAGGATTTTAACTTTGCTAAATTCACCTTGAAGTAAGCATTTACCACAGAGAATTTCAACCTGCCTGAAATTACATTATCCTAGGACATAGCAAAGAACTATAAAGCCAGCTAAAGCACTGTGATAAAACATTGCTAACAAGTTTTCTCAACTGATTTTTGAAGTCCAATGATTTTTGAAGTATTAGTTGATTCGCTGTTGTACTGACAGTGATTAGTTTTTATGACTTCTGTTCACCACTTATTGCTGATTCTTGTAAAGCTTTTCCATAGGTATTAAATCTCCACATCACAATAACTAAAAAGTTGATGATAGTAAATTACTTTTCTTCTTTTTTCTTTTTAAACTCTCAACTCTTTTATGATTTCTTAGGAGGAAGATCACACTAATCAAGTTTTCCCTGTCACACATGACTTACAGCTTTGTAAAGAAAAAAGCTTAACCTGATGTTGTTTATTAATATCTTACTTTTTACCAGAGATACATAACATCTTCTCCACACTTGACCCAGTTTGAAAAGGCCGGCTATATGTCTTTTGAGTCTGTAGCTTGGATTATAAGAAAAAAATTAATTAGAATATGGCCTTTGTCTGAGAGAGGAACTGACACGCATTTATTAAAATCTGTAATCCATCACAGTTGAAGATTATAGAAGATTTTTTTTATGATTCTTATTTTTTTTCTAGATCAGAACCAATATGTGTGAGTAAAGAGATTATCTTAAGCACTTATGTTTTAAATAACTTGTCAGCATGCTAAGATGATGAATGTGATTACAAACATCTCTGGAAGAAACTTTGAATGACAGCTGATTTCTTGGATTACAATTTTAAAACGTCTGCAAAATATTTAGGTTGAATGGAACGGTTATATCAAGATGGGATTTTAGAAAGGAGGATTCCTTTTTTGCTTTTGGTCCACAGATGCTTGAAAAAGCAAAATAGAATTAATTGGCCTAAAAATTACTTTGTGTATACAACTATATCAAACTGTAAATACATTAGCAGAAGATTACTTCATGCTTGTTATTTGGTATGTGAGACAACAAGCCAGTTTTCCAGAAGAAAAGGCTGAAGAAGTAGCACACGAGATGTTAGTGCAGTGAAGTGAAGAAGTATAGTATCTGCTAAAAAGGCTATAAAATATGGTTTTCAATTTGCCATAAAATCACAATTAACCTTTCTGGTGTGTACACCCCTAGAGATTAGGATATCAATTTTTTTCTATAATTTTTGAATAAGATGGGGGAAGTACATAATATTGCTGTCCTTGTTATCCTAGATGTGCAAATGAAATTTATCAGCAAATCTGAGTGCTTTAGAGGAATTAGTAAGGAACCCTTAGGCCACTTGAAAAAGAAAACAATCCCTTCCTCTAAGCTCAACCATTATACACCTTTGTATGCACCAAATTTGTGCCTGAACACTGAAAAATGTGTATGTATAATTCTTACAAAAAGTGCATTGTCTGGGACAATGCACCTGTTATGTCCATTTTTAACTCCTGTCAACCCCCAAACTCTTTAAATTAAAATGATTCTAGATCCTATTTGTCAAAAGCAATTAACTCCACTAGGGATACATTGCATGTTTGCTTGCATTTAAGAGTCCTAATCTCAGTCCTGTTCTTCCTGAACTTCCAGAATTACTAAATATGCAACCATGGAAAGGACCACAGGGTTAAAAAAAAAAAAAAAAAAGAATAAAAGGTGTAAAACCTGAATAGATATGTTTTAGG